TACAAGATTGAGATTGTGCGATTTTGTGTGGATATATAGGTGGATACCAGACGCTATTGTATTTGACTCATACCGAAGTTATGGAACTCCAAGCTATTGGTTACAACAACTCTTCTCACAATCAAGCCGAGCTACATATATTAACTCAACGCTTGAAGCCCCAGCTTCGATTGTCGGGTCGGCAATTGTTTGGGAAAATCAGGAGAACAAAAAGAGCTATCTGAGAATCAAGGTAATGCATGGACGATCCATCATATATGCTCGAGTTAATCGAATGCTAAAGAGGTTGTGCTCATTTGAGATCCCATATATCTCTTTAGGTTGTGAACTTTGATGACGAGATGGCGACCCTTGGCATTACAATTGATGGCTTGGACTCGAATGCGAATCTTTCAGGATCAACTTTTACATTGCTCACATCTACCAATGTCAAGGACGAGAATTCCTTTGATAATCCCAAGAAGGTATAACTTTATGTTATTTTAAATATTGTTTCATCTTTTGCCTAGCTATAAGTAAATCATGAACATCTTAAACAATGTAAAATAATTAGGAGATGCATTCATCAACGAGCCACGCTATCCACAGTTCTTGAACACCGTGGCTCTTTTCTTAAATTTTATGCAACGCAGAGGCCCCGGCTGTAAGATATTAAATCTATAACCGCTAGTAATATTTATAGAACATGCATTTGAATCATGTTTTAGGTTCCCCGCAATAAAGAAGTATCACCTAGCTAGTAGGTGTGAAATGCCCATTCAAAAGTCAACCTCTTATGCAAGTTTTTGTGCCTCGAATGTGCAGGTTGTACCGCAAGTGGGTCTACTTGAGAATGCTCGCCCCACTATGACCGTCGTGCTTCCCCCAAATTCAGTGGCTTCATTTGAATTTCCAAAGTGATCAACCAACTCGAATATACATATAAATGTGTGCGTGTAAAATTGTTCACATATTGGATAGAACTAGAATATGTTAATGCAAGAATGTAAGAGAGCAACCCTCGAGTTGTTAATATCCAACGTAAAGCATCAATCAAGCAGTAAAGCGTATGAATTTTTAACATTTTTTTTTCTTTCGCATGAGTTATTTTATTATTTTTCTTTACAATTCTTCCTTCTCAAGCCTATACTCAAAAATCATTGTATTTTCAGACAAAATGGAATCATTAAATAAAATAAGGTTAAGCGATTAATTATTTCAAAAAATAAAATAAGACATTGGCTTTCCAAAAAAGATAAAACATGTATGTGAATTTCAAAATTTTATAAACTTTCCCAGCAAATGGTTTGTTAGACATAAATGCAATTGAAACCGGATTGTGTCTGATTTTCGCCTTAAGAGCGCTCTTCATATCATATGAAAGGGCATCGAAAAATATGAGCTACTCAAAGCATCTTCTTAAAAACAACATAAAGTGAAGTTTTGTGCAAGAACTCTATTAATTTTACAAGATAAAATGATCATCCTTAAATTTTTTTCATCATAAGACATGGAGAAAGGAGTTGAGCAACAGATTACGAAAAAATCTAGAACAGATGCAGACACGAAAATGCTCTTGAGGAAGTTCATGAAAATCAAAGTGTCAATATTAAATGTGAACATTAGAGGTGGAAGGGGTGGACGGATATTCTTTCTTGTTCTTCTTTTAGAAAGTCTATATATCTCATTTATGTAGTATTCTTATGAATTGTTCTTCAAATTTTTAAACTAAACTTGCAACATAAAATAAAGAAAGACGTCTATCAAAAAAATAAATCAATAAATAAATGAAGACAGAGGGGAAGCCAAGCTAAATGGCATAAAAATTAAGGTTAATGAGTAAATAAGACTTTAAACTCTTGCTCGAAAATCGTCTTAGATCCTGAACTCTTAAAATATTCAAAATAAACTTTAAATTTTTAAATTTATAATAAAATAAACCTTAACCGTTAACTTTTTAATATTATTACTGTTCACGCAGGTACTGTTCAAGGTTTATTTTCTTATAAATTTAACCCTAACTGTTATGATACCCACAATAGTAACAGTGTTAAAATGTTAGCAGTCAGATTTTATTTTGCTATAAATTTAAGATTGTAAGGTTTATTTTGCATATTTTAAGAGTTTAGGGCCAAGGATGATTTTCAAGCAATAGTTCAAGATCCTATTTGCTCCTTAACCCTAAAAATTAAAAAGGATATAAATTATAGTATTTAAAAAAATTCAAAAATAAATATAAAATCCATTGATAAATACTTTTAAAATTATACTTTAATTCAAGAGTTTAGGGCGATGGTTGCGGTGAAATTTTTTGTTGCATCTACATCAATCTTTTTTAAATATATAGATAGATAATTTCGATGATAGAAAAGTATGCTTGAAACTTGATAAAAGAATTTTAGAAATTCTAAAAAGTTATATATGTGCTTGACAAATCTAAATCCTTATTAAAATTACCGATGAGTTGCATATCCGAGAAAGATTAGATTCATTCTAAATTTCACAGGTATATTTTCTTTATTACATGGGTACCATGTATGTTAATTAAATATTAAAGTGGAGTTGTGAGTTTGGCATTTTCCGTCCTCAGGTTCGGGTTTGGGTTTGCCAAAGTACAATGGGAATAATTGTGCTCAGGAAAAAAAAAAATATATATATATATATATATTAAAAATTGAAGCCACTATCAATCAATTTGAAACGTTAGTTTACAATTTCGTGTTCATACTTTTGTTGCATCATATAATGTAAACTGTTCACGTATTGGATAGCACAAGAACACGTAAATGCAAAAATGTGAGAGAGTAAATTTAGTATTTTATGCCAATCAAGCAATAAAGCCTATAGGTTATTTTCACTTTTTTCTCACGTATCTGTTATTTCAATCTTTCTTTACAATTCTTCTTTTTCAAGCTTATACTCAAAAATCATTGTGTTTTCAAACAAAACGGAATCATCCAACATAATTTGTCTTTTTATTTTATTCCACATGATGTGGAAAAAGACAAGGTTAAGTGATTAATTATTTCAATAAATAAAATAAAATATTGGCTTTCCAAAAAAAAATATTTATGTGAGATTTCAAAAGTTTATTAATTTTCTTGGAAAATGGTTTGTTAAACATAAGATTAAGATACAAATCTATCCTTAATATTTCCACCTAAGCACAGCCCATATTCTAAAATATTTTTCGACGCAATTTTACTCCTCGAATGTTTTTTAAAATGGTACAATATCACCCTAACTTAACTATTTGACTACTTTGACCATTAAGCTAAAAAATTTGACTGTTGACCGCCTTGTTGGCTTGCCACATTAGCATCACGTGTGATTCCCTTCTCTCTGCCCTTTCACTTCTCTCCAAACCCAAATCTATTCGCCTTCCTCCTTTGCCCTCTTCTTCGTCCTCCTCCTCCAAATCCAGTTCCCATTCACAAACCATCATCCTCTTCTTCTTCAACCTATTCTTCCTACCCCAACATCGATGGTCGACCCCCTTTTACTTCTCTCCTCCAAGCTTGATAGGATCTCTTTCTTGAAGATGGTGAGGAAGGAATCGAGAACCTCGCGCGAAGAATGGCGATGTAAGGTAGAGCAATCGCGCCCCGTGAAGACGATGACTAAAGCTTGTGTGTGGCTCGACAACTTTGATTGTGGGTTGCGATGGAGAAATGTCTGTGACCTTTCTTGTTCCTTTGATTATGCGTGGCTTGACACCTTCATTTCTGGGCTTATGGATTTCTAGGATTCTAGGTTTTCGAATATCCTTCGATGTGCGAGAGGGTTCATTTCAAATGGGTTCATTCAAGCACCTTCCTTGTTCCTTCGATTATGCATGGCTTTATGAATCTAATTTATCTAGTTTGATCAAGATTTGAACCAAGATTTGGGTTCATAGATGGTGGCGAAGAAAGATGTGGGGACGCCGGGGGAGATATTGGAGGAGGTGGCAACAACGGGTTCTGGGTTTTGGATTCTTGCTCCTTGCTTTCTAATCTGGGAATTTGATTGATGGGTTTCATTTGTTCAATTTTGATTTGCCTTCGTGATTTGGATATTGATTTCTTGCTTATATGATTGATTTGTTGGTTCTGCAAGCGTGTAATCTCTTGTTGGTATTACTGGTTCTCTGATTCTCAGTGTTTTAAATGTTCAAGAATTGATTTCAGATCTGGATTTTTTTTTTTTCTCTTATTCTTTGTTTGGAATCGTTCATCCTTGTTCTTTTTCATTAATGGTCTGAGGTTCTAACTGATTAGCTTGGTTTTTTATTGGAGAGGATGAGAAGGGGACCGAAGTGAAGGAAAAGGTTGCATGAGGAAGAAGAGATTTTTCTTTTTCTTTTTTTTTTAAACCTAGGGAAGAAGAAGAAGAAATGACGTGTTTTTTTTATTATTTTTAAATTTTTTTTAATTTTGAAAATATGCCACGTGGCTGCAAATAATGCATATAACAATCAACAGTCAATGCAATCAAACTCTATCAGGTGACATTGTACATAAATAAAAAACGATTAGGCGACATTGTGAAAAAAAAAAAAAAACTTTAAAACATGGAGTGCACCTAAATGAAAATATCGAGGATTGATTTGTACCTTAACCCTCAAACATAAATGTGATTGAAACCAGTATTTATTTTATATTTGACTATATTCTAAAGAGCACTCTTCATATCAAATGGAAAGTGCCTGTTGAGAGTATCTTCTTAAAATAAACTATAAAGAAAGTTTTTTTTTTTTTTAACAAACCCTCTTAATTTTAAAAGATAAAACAATCATCCTCGAATTTAAAAAGGAAAGAAAGAGAGAGAGAGATAAGTAACTTCTTCGCACGTGATCTATTGGCAGTTACACAAATTTGGATCTTTCCAAATAAATAAATAACTAGTAAAATATTAAAAAATATTTTCAAGTAAATGAATTTTAAAACCAAGTAAAAAAAAAATATTGCATAAATTTTTTTGTTGTGCTGTGTAACTCCTTTTCAGACTTCATTATTGTTTCAATTGTAAAGAGAGTAGCATTTAATGACATTAAGTATCTTTTATATTTATAATAAGACTAGGGGCTAACGTGTTGTTCCAATGACAAAATCTTGCATGCATGTTTTACACTTGGCAAAAGCGCAATTCTCACAAAGTAACTGAAACTAAATGTGGTGAATAAATTGGATGAAGGAGACGAATCTGCAACAATTCATCCTCTTCATCCATGGATGAAATTGGAGAGAGAACCTGTGAGTTGTTTCATGGCCAAGCCCAATTGTACAAGCTCATGTATCTTTGGATGTCCTCTTCATGTCTCAAATGTGCCACTGATCTTGAAATACCAGGCGTAATCCACAAGCATGGCCAACCCATCCCTCTATCTCAGCTGGTGTCAGCTCTCAATGTTCCACCCTCTAAAGCTACCTTTGTGAAAGGGCTTATGCGCTTGCTGGCTCACAATGGCCTCTTTGCTATCAGCAAAAGTAATACAACTGAAGAAGAAAGTGAAGAGGCATATGATCTCACTCCTGCATCAAAGCTTCTTGTGAATGGCACAGACCTTTGTCTATGTTCAATGGTTCATTTGGCTGTAAGCCCTGCTTTGTTTAATCTTTATCATAACTTGGGGAAATGGGTTTGTGGGCAGGAAAACACACTGAGAGGGACGTCATCTGGCCTAGGCACTTATGACTTCCTTACTCAAAACCCAGCAGATTTGGCGGCCTTTCAAGAAGCAATGGCTAGTGATTCTAGATTCATGAAAGTGGCACTCAGAGATTTGGAATCTGTTTTTGATGGATTGAGTTACATCGTTGATGTTGGTGGTGGAAATGGGACAACTGCTAAGATTATCAGCGAAGCTTTCCCAAAGCTGAAATGCACAGTACTGGATCTTCCTGAGGTTGTAGCAGATTTATCTGAAAACACCAACGTGACTTTTGTTGGTGGGGACATGCTCAAATCCATCCCTAATGCTGACGCAGTTCTCATAAAGGTAAATACATTCTACTGAAATTATATACAGGAAAAAACACCTTACATAACAAAGGGAAAATCAATCACTAGTCATTTACTTAACTTGGTATGTTAAATTACTATCCATTTTTCATACCATTTTCGTTTTTTACAGTGGGTTTTGCATGACTGGGGTGATGATGATTGCATAAAGATACTCAAAAATGCCAAGGAAGCTATTTCAGGCAATGGAAGAAGAGGAAAAGTGATCATCATAGATACAGTTTTGAATGAAAAGGAAGACCAGAAAGAACTGCTAGAAACAAAGCTATTATTCAACATAGTCCTGGCAGCTGAGTTCAAGTCAAAAGAGAGAACTGAGGAAGAATGGAAGGAACTTTTCCTGAAAGCAGGCTTCACAGATTATCAGATATTTCCGATATTTGGCTTTAGGTCTCTCATTGTGCTCAACCCTTAGATTTGCTTGGAATCTAATTACTAGTATTACAAATATAAAACTGAATAAATTCGCAGCAGAACAAGAGTTATGATACTTTTGCAATTTTAATGACCTATAACATAGAGCTATAAAGAAATTGGTCCCCATCTCATTATAACAGCAGCTGAATCATCTAGCAATTAATAAGCATTCATGTCTACATGAAGTCATTAACGAGTTGAGTGAAAAAAAATAATTAAGTTATTGCTGATTAAAAAAAAAAAAAAAAACTAGTTAGTGTACCTCTGTTAAAATACGCTACAAGACCAGAAAGAAATTACAATAGCACAATATCATGCATGGTTATAACTATTTAAGGGAAGACATGGAAGTAACCGACCTTAATTGTCATCTTTCTTCCTTGCTCAGTTATGAATCAATTACAACCTTTAATCATGGCAAAGAGAAGTTTCTTTGGCGTATCACCTTTCTCAATTTTTTTTGAAAACATAAGCATGTGAGCTCCAGGCAGTAAACAAATTAAGATCCTTTCAAATAAATAAATAATAAAATATCAGAAAAATATTTCGAAGTAAACAACTTTTCAAAAAAATAAGAAAAAAATATGTTACATGCATTTTTTATTGTTTCGCCGTCTCTTTCAGTCTTCATTGTTGTTTAAATTGGAAAGAATCAAATTTAATGACATAACCAAGACAAAGGCGCTAATGTGTCATTCAAAGAACAAAAGTTACATGCATGTTTTACACTTGGCAAAAGCACAATTACCAATGGGGCACTGAAACCTAATATAGCTACCATATTGTCTGAAGGAAAAGTACCTTCAACAATTCATTTGGCAATTCCACCTCACTACGTCAATGGATGGAATTGGAGGCAAAACCAGGGAGCTTTTTCATGGCCAAGCCCAGCTGTACAAACACATGTACTTTTGGATGTCTTCTGCATGTCTCAAGTGTGCCATTGAGCTTGAAATACCAGACATAATCCACAAGAATGGCCAACCCATCTCTATATCTCAGTTGGTGTCAGCTCTCAAAGTCCCACCCTCAAAAGCTAACTTCGTGAAAGGGCTCATGCGCTTGCTGGCGCACAATGGCCTCTTCTCTATCATCGAAAGCAACAACATTGAAGAAGAAAGTGAAGTAGCATATGATCTCACTTCTGCATCTCAGCTTCTTGTGAGTGGCACAAACCATTGTTTATCTTCAATGGTTCAGTGGGCCCTTAGGCCCACTAGGCTTGAGATGTATCATCAGTTAGGAAAATGGGTTCGTGGGAAGGAAAAAACATTGAGAGAGACAGCATTTGGGGTAGGCTTTTATGACTTCCTTAATCAAAACCCTGCAGACTTGGCAGCCTTCCAAGAAGCAATGTCTAGTGATTCTCTATTCATGAAAGTGGCACTGAGTGACTTGGAATCTGTTTTTGAGGGCTTGAATTCCATTGTTGATGTTGGTGGTGGAACTGGGACCACTGCCAAGATTATCTGTGAAGCATTTCCCATGTTGAAATGCATCGTGCTGGATCTTCCTGAGATTGTTGCAGGCTTATCTGGAGACACCAATTTGAGTTTTGTAAGTGGGGACATGCTCAAAACCATCCCTCATGCTGATGCAGTTCTGATCAAGGTAAATTATCAGAATAAGCCAGAAGTTTCCCCCAAAGTTTCTTTTATGTCAATTCATGTATTTCAGATGTTAATTTTAAATGACATACAACGTTTCCAGTTTTAATGATAGTTCAAATAAGTTGCATTTTCATTACATTTTAAAATTCATGTCATGTAATTATAATTAAACTATATTGTAAAGCGAAGTGTAATTTCTTCCAAATCTTTAACCCCTCAGGGACCAAAGCCCTTTGAATAAACAATTACATTCAAGCTTTTAGAGTTTTAAAATTATAAATTCCAGAATAGCATCTTTTTTGTTATGATAGAATATTATCAAAAAATTATTAAGAAATTAAAGGAATAATTAGCATGAAAATGTTAATATTCAAACATGGAATACTTGGCATATTAAGTTATTGTTTGCTTTTCGCATTTACAGTGGGTTTTGCACGATTGGGGGGATGATGATTGCATAAAAATACTCAAAAATGCCAAAGAAGCTATCTCCGGCAATGGCCAAGGAGGAAAAGTGATCATCATAGACACAGTGTTAAACGAAAAGCAAGACAATCATGAACTGATGGAAACAAAACTCCTATACAACATAATTTTAATGGCTGAGTTTGATGCAAAAGAGAGGTCTGAGGAAGAATGGAAGCAACTATTCCAGAAAGCAGGCTTCACAGATTACCAGCTGTTTCCCATATTGGGCTTTCGGTCTCTCATTGTGCTTCATCCTTAGATTTGGTTGGAACCCAATAACTAGTTTTACATGTTTTAAACTGAATAAATTTGCAGTGGAACAAGAAGTGTTATAATATTTCTGCACTTTAAATAGCTCCAACAATAGAAAAGTTGGTCCCTCTCTTATAAGAATAGTTGATTGAATCATCTAGCAATTAAAAAGCATTCATGTTTCAATACAAGGTTATCACTGAGTCAAGTGAAGCGAAAAACAATGACAGAACAAGCTAATAATGATATCTCTAAGCAAGGCAATGTGGAATTTCTCATCCACTAGCTATTCCAAAGGCCAATATTTCCTTGCAGTCAACAATTCATGGTGGCATTCTAGTTATGCCCATCTCCATTCAATTAGACTTGTCTTTTTCCTGTCATCCGATAACTCCATTTTTTTTTTTCAATTTCCTTGCAGGATGATTCTCCCTTGAAACCCCGATTGGTTTTACTGGTTAGAATGTTCTGATATTTTGTGGAACATAGCCTTACTTGATTATACTATACATTCATTTCATTTCAAGTATGAACAATGAAGTCTATAGTGAGGTGGTGACATTCCAATTCATTAAGGCCAATCCCTTTTACATATTTCATCTCAATTCCTTTAAAATTATTTCCCATGCACCAAATAAGCTTAGTGTCAGGGATGTGCGGAAGGCAAAATAACAACTTCATATTTTGCATTTCAAGCCCCAAAAAACTTCAAATTCTGCATCATAACACCCAGGCCATTCAGCATAACCGAAATCCAGAAACACAAGACCTATTACCTAGTATAGACAACCTTATAAATAATCAGAAAATAGTATTCAGGGAACAGCATTTAAAGAATGTTACAAGACACTAAATAGTTATTTTGATGGGTTTCGACGAAGAAACCAAACCAGCACAATGTCATGCATAGTATAGTTATCATAGTAAGGCAACAGAAGACAAGAATATCAGCTTAGGAAATGGCAGAAACTGACCTGACATGCCATTCCCTTGCTTGGTTCTGAATCAATTACAATACGGATGGTTATATAACCTCCCTTGGTAGAGCTTCCAGCACTTATGTGCATCATATTATATATGGACACAAACAGGCAGCTATGAGTGACAATCTGGACCGAAGAATACACTTCACAAGGTCTGTTCCAACTCTCAAAAGTGCATCATATTATATTATACGTGAACTGGAAGCATTGGAAATCAATATCAATCTGTTTCATGGAATAAAAAGCTTGATTAAGTCGAAGTTTCAGATGGCAAAATTTATGCCAGCTGGAGAACAATTATTAACTATAAAACAAGGAGACACTAAAAATGCTGTACCATGATTAACATAAACCAAACACTTGTATTAGATATAACAAATCATTTTACGTTGCACTTGGACACTACAAGATTTGTTACCTTGCAGTGTTATGTCTTAAACTGAAACCAAGCCTGTGACCAGTGTAATGACAAGCTACCTTCATTTTCTTGCTTTCTGTAACCTTGAGTAACGAAGAATTTACTTGTGTTGACAAATCTGTTCAAAATTCATCTCATTCATCATATCCCAAGATCCCATAATTTTGGCCTGTAAAATGCCTTATAACCTTCATGTTTCATCTCCATAGTTAACCTGTCAAGAATACTATATATCTGATCACTTTCAGGATGGCTCTCATCTTTAGATACGAAGAAGTTCACAGACCCAGCAATCTCAACCCAACTACAACCTGTTTCCTTCTGCAAACCTTTTTCCTTCATCCGAATTCTCACTTTGTCAACGTTTTGCCACTTTCCTTCTTCTGCAAACATATTTGAGAGCAAAACATGGTAACCTGCTATCCCTTTTTGTGCCTCCAAATCAATCAACTTGTTAGCAATTACTTTTCCCAATTCAAAGCATCCATGATTTCTGCAAGCACCAAGAAGTGATCCCCAAATTTCTAGTGCATTACCATCTTCACCCAATCCCTTGACAAACTCATACGCTTCAAGCACCCTGCCTACCCTCCCTAACATGTCAGTAACACAGCCATAGTGTTCAACGGAGGGCTTAATTTTATGTACTTTCTCCATAGACTCAAATATTTTCAGACCTTCATCAACCATTCCAGCATAACCACAAGCAGACAAGATGGCAACGAAAGTAACAGCATCAGGTTTATGGCCAGATTCCTGCATAGAATGAAACAAAGTAAGAGCTCTCTTAACCATCCCATGCTGGCCATAACCCAACATCATTGTGGTAAAAGTGATTGAATTCCTCTCAGGTATACAAGTAAACACATTTTCCGCATAACTGATTGCACCTGATTTGGAATATGTGTCAATTAAAGCAGTTCCCACGTAAACATTTTGGTCTAAGCTGTGACGAATGGAGAATCCATGAAGTTCCTTGGCAAAGGCTATGATTCCCGTTGAACTACAAGCTGGAAGAATTGATGCTAAAGTAACAGCATTTGGTGTTACCCTCTGCTCAAGCATCTCTCCAAGAATCAGAAAGGCTTTTTCATGCAGCCCATTCTGGGTGTAACCAGCAATCATTGCATTCCATGTAGCATGATCTTTATCACCTGGACAGTTTTGCTCAAATATCCATTCTGAAGGTTTAACCAAACCACATTTTGCATACATATCTATTAGATAGCTTTCCATGCCCTCAAATTGTATCCCATGACGAATTGCATATGCATGAGTCTGCTTTCCAATACCTTTGCTCCTAAGATTAGAAGCTGTAGAAAGAAGAGAAGTCACGGTCACAGAATCAATCATAAACCCTTGGTTCTGCATCTCATAGACAAGCAATAGTGCTTCCTCATCCAAACCATTTTGCACAAAAGCAGAAATCATGGTATTCCACGAAACTACATCCCTTTCAAGCATCTTATGGAAAACTTTGAACGATGTATCAATTGAATCGCACCTTGAGTACATAACAATAATGGCATTCAGAATAATAACTGGTAAGATTGCCATACTTTTCAAAATAAATGCATGTAGCTGCTCAGCCATTTTTATCTTCTGCAACAGTGAAATAGCAGTTAGGGCTGATAGAAAAGTCAGATCATCGCATACAGCCTCTTTTGATTCTAAGGCTTGAATGAAAATGCTGATTGCTTCAATTGGACAGTTATTTTGAACATATCCACCAATCATAGTGTTCCATATCTCAGTATTCCTCTCTTTACATTGATCAAAAACCAACCTAGCATAACTAAGGTAGCCAAGCTCAGCATACATATTTATAGCTGAGCTCACAACAAACACATCCTCCACATATTCACACCCAAATTTATGAAGCAACCCATAAAATACATCTGCAATCTTATAATCTCCCAAGCTCGATACAGCAGGGTATACATTCACAAAACTGACAGAACTCGGCGTTATTCTCATTTTCATCATCGTGCTGAACAGTTTAACTGCTTCAGCGTGCGCCTCCTTCTTCACATACCATGAAATCAAGGTATTCCAAGCAATAACATTTCGTTTACGCATAAAGTTGAACACTTTAAGCACATAGTCATTCTTCGAACCACAATATTCCACACCACTCAAGCACGTAGAGTACATATTCAAGAGCGAATTATACACAATCCTACTGGGGTTTGGGTTCGATTGGCACCGAAGGAAATGGCAATGCACCGCTTTACCAGCTCTAAGGTTTCGAGTTTCAGCACAGGCCTTGAGAGTGGAAGAGTAAGTATAAGAATCGAATCGAGTACCTGGGGTAGACTTCATTTGACTGTAGAACAACAAGGCTTCTAAGGGCATGTTGTTGCAGATGAATCCAATGATGATGGTGTTCCATAGAACAGTGGAAGGGCGAGGAAGACTGTCGAACAATTGGCGAGCAAGGTGAGGTTGGCCTTCTTGACATAGTTTGCTAAGGCGAGAGCGAATTGTAGGGGTTTTGAGTGTAGGGTTCGGAATTGACAAGAGCGAGAAGGAATCGGTAATGTCAGTGGAGAGAGAATGTGAATTGGGAGCGGATAGAGGAAGAGGAAGAAGTGGGGAAGCAGAAGAAGCCATGGAGAAGTTGGGAGCCTTGGCTCTTGAGAATAAGCTCAGGATAATCACGAAGTTATAAATATGCAGAATAAAATTAATGGCAGCCAAGAAAAATAAGAAATTAATCTTAAACTTAATCTAACCTTGTCTTTGTGATGTCAAAAAAATTTAATCACACATTTGTTCATTGTCCAAAAAAATTGTGTCTTTCTGATAACAAAAAGCAATTGTATGTTTGTGCAAGAAATTTGAATTTTTAGAGTTGTATAAAATTTTAAAAACAAATAATAATTTAAATTTAAAAATAAGAACAATAAAACTTATATTTTTTCAAATTTTTTTAAGTTGTTCAAATAGAATCAATCCTAAAGTTTAATATCAACATATATATTTTACTGAAGTTTAATATCTATATATAATTAATTTTTTGGAGTTATGGTTTTATTTTCTTTTACAATGGTCCCGGTTATTTTTTTGCCATGGTGATCAAACTTTAAGAATTTAATTCATCAAAATTAAATTTTAGGAATAAAATAAAAAATAAGAAAATTTTAAAAATTAAAAGTTTTATTATTCTTAAAAGATACATAGAGATGTGAGAATTTATGCTAGATCTTAGGGAAAATATAATGTATATCTATTATTTATTGGCAGTGCCTTTTTGCAAAATTATTTATCACTTTTCACATTAAGTAATTTACTTTGTTTAATATAAGGACTCACAAAGGAGACAAACAAATCAAGTCATCTCAAAAATCATAAAGTTTCTACACTTTAGAAGAGGATAATTGAAAATCATAACATCAAAATTCTCTTTAAATGCTTGGCAAGCAAGTAAATTGATACATTTATTTGTTTATCTAAATACATAATCAAAGGTAATTATTCAATCTCTCATAACAAAATCTTGATTTCCTTAATAGTTTCATACAAGGGATGGCTCAAAGAGAAATTGTGCTTGGCGAGCAACAAAACTTCTAAAGAATCAAAGTATATATTAATTTTGGTGAAAGCAGCACTCGAACAAAGGTTGACACATTAAAAAATATTCAAAAGTTTTGTATCTGTGCTAGGAATATATCCAAAATATTTGAAAAATCTCATATTTAAATTACCTTGATCATCATAAATGAGGTCTTCATAGACAAGATTGTCCATTAATATTGATTGAATCGTCATGGTTGAGTTTGACCCTACTTACTTCATGAGAACCAATTAGCTACATATATTTCACTCTGCTTAGTTAAGAGTTTAATTCTTGATTGGAGTTTTAGGTTATTCATAATTTGCTGAGTGCAAGAGAAGACAATTTCTTTGTCCTAACTATATTTTTTCTAACAAACTTTATTGCATCTAGTTTTTCATATCTTCTACAAGACATGAGTGAAAAACATCCACTATGGTTCTTGTGCCCAAGCTACTAGTGTCATTTTTTGCATTCAAAAATATTCAATCATGCATAAAAAGAGAGAAGAAAGTATTAAGCTAAGAAGGATTAATTAGTTTCATTCAAACTCCCTAAGTTTCCTTACAATCACACAAGATATGGATTAAGTGGTTAGAAAAGTTACAATCAAAAGGGTAGGTTCATCAATAGGGACATACTACTTTCGTTGATGTTGATGATTTTGTTTTGTTCCCAATCTTAAGCATCTTTCCATAAAGACAATTTGATTTTCTCATAAGTAGGTCATTTCTAAATACTAAACCAGATTTTCAAAATTGGTGTGATCTCCTTAATTTTCCTACCATCTAACTTGGAGTTTCTATTATACAAGTACGTGCTTATTTAGTGGAAGATGTTCTTCTTCAAGCCAAACTTGCAGCCTTTTGAAGACGCATATTAGTATTGCCCTCTTTTTCAATACCTATGAAAAAACCAATGTCCTTAGTGACACATCCTCTCATTGATTAGGATTGTACGTGACTACTGAGAATACTCATCAGGTAAGCTTGCATTCTGGTTTTACTGGTAACTTCTACAAAATGTTGTTGGTTGAATATTGGCGTTTGTTTATATCTTTTTATCTCAAAACTTAATTACTTTCAGTAAAATTATTACTCTTAAAATTTCTAATGCAAAACAAAACACATTATTAAAGTATTGAACCGATAATTATTCTAGTACCTAAATATTAGTGCTGTACTTTGCAATTCAAATTTGTATACTAGTCACCCCTTCTTTGCTGCTCTTGTCAACTAAAAATATAATATGTGTGTGTACACGATAAACCTTTTTATGAGAAAAATAAATAGTTAGAGCCCAAAAACAATAACATTCGGCCCAATTTTAAAAACCTAATAAAAAGACAAAAAAAAAATCAAATCCAACTAAAAACAAAGGTCCACTTTTCATAAGCAGGCCATCCATTTTACCTCGGCAAAATAGAAAGGCATCATCTAAGAAGTTAAAACATGTTTTTAGTTTCTTGTTTGCTCAGTTTATGAATGATATTCAATTTCTTACTCAAAAAAAAAACAAGAGTTTGGCTCGGAAAAACCTAGAGCTTGATATTAAAACATGTTTATGGATAACTATGAATGACCAAAAAAATGAATTTTTAATTTAGAAAAATTATTTTTTTTACAATTATCATTAATAGGATCATATCGAGTGCAAAGCCCTCCCAACAAGTGAAAAAATTAATAATTTGGCTCCATGATTTATGCAAGCTTCCTATTTAGGTCAAATCTAAGAAAATATAAAACTTAAAGAGTCCATATCAAAGTTGCGTGGAATTATAAAACTTCTAGAGTTCTTCAAAACAAAAGGATAAAAAGATAATATAAAATTATAAGATCAAACGTTATCTTAGTTTTAATTTTCTTCCCTTCTTTCTTTGTTCTATCACTTCACGTTGACCATATGTAGATAAGTTGACTCTCATAGCAACTTCTGTAAAACTACCAACAACTGCCACCACAAAAACTAAGAAAAATGAATGCCATTAATGGATAGGCTTATCAAGTGGATTGACTTTTTTTTGTATTTACTTCCATTTTCAAAAAAAATAAGTTAGAGGTTGGTTTCTTTACACATCATAATATGTATATAAACTCATGTTTGTACGTCTCTTTGTATAGAGAAAGAAAGAGAAAATATCAATAAAGAACCCCTACAAGTAATATCTGACGAGGATTTTAATAAGTAAATATTAACAAATTAATAAGAGAAGTTATTATTTTAACAAGTATCCAAGATATTCAAATCCTTGTCAAATATTAAATATTTTTAGGATCCTTGTTGATGTTCTCCAAAAAAAATAGTGCATGAAATTGTAGTTATAAATCTATTATATTTATTTTCTAGGCAAAATATATTTTTAAATTCTTAACAAAAAAAAATAAAACTTTTTAATTTGATGAATAGATTACTTGTGTGCGTATTTTGATTGTTTACAAATCTCCTCGTATTAGAAACAATTACATCTCGAAACACGATGAGATATTAAATATAGGTATCTCTTTTAATTAGGATTTGAACCTTCATTCAACACGTTATGAGAAATTAATCCCTTACATTGTGTAAATTGACCCAACCCTTATTGGTATTATTGTATATATGTGATATGAAGAGAAGCCAAAAATATTAAAAAATGAAATTTGATTCAAAGGTGCACTCAAGTGAGACACCCCTCAAAAGTAAAAGATGCGTTTCAGGTCCAATGGACTTGATGCCACATCCAATCTTTACATGTCAACAACAAGAACATGTCTTACTTTTTATGTCTCAAAACCAATGTTAGTCTGCAATCCATTTAAAATATATGAGATAAATGTGCATTTTTATTTTTAAAATATTCTTCAAAAAGTATTCAGTATTCTAAACTTTTTAATATAGAATTTTCAAAACTAAAATAATTAGAATGTAGTATTCTCCACTTTGACATTAAATACTTGTATGTATCAATTAGATAGGGCTTTTTTACAATATATTGTAAAACAGTAAAAAAATTATTGAAATGCTTCGCCATGAAAAATATTTACCTGAATACTGCACTGAAAATCATTTAGACCAAAAATGAGTATGTTGTTGTGAATAAATTGTTCAAGCCAATAACGATTTTATAGTCAGAAATTATTTTTTTATCAATGAAAAGTGAGGTGAACAGTTTCAACTTTTTTATTGACATAACATTTTGTTCAGGCTCAATTATGAGAATATCTATTTTTTCTTCTTGCTTTGCTTTTCCTGTGTAACTCATTCAAGTATTAGATAGATGGTCACTTACTATTATTAATGCTCCTCCGATGGTCAAAGAATTTGATAAAACATCTAAGTACATGTAATAGTATTAAAAGACATGTCCAATAACAAATCCAACATATTAGTAGTAATACTAAGTATGCAGTAGGTTTTTCACATTTTTCTACTAGTAATATAATTAAGAAAAATATAATGGGTAAATTAACAGAGCAAAATTATCATATGTTAAAAAAACACGATGTAATTAAGACTTGTGAAAACTTGTAACATAATTTAAAAAAAGTTGGCAAGTTAATAATTGAGTTCAAATTAAACCGTACCATGTTTATGATAATTAATAATACCTTGACCAAGTTAGGGTTTGGTGATACCTAAATGATTCAATCAAGAAGAAAATGGGAAGGAGGGAGAGGAAGGGACAAGGAGAATATACAATAATCAGTGGAAGAAAATTTGTAGGGACAAGTCATAATTAATTAAAGGAAGAAAGTTTGTGAGTGTGCATGGTAGGTTTCATGATATTCTATAAATGTCAAGGAAAAAGGGTTTATGAGAATGCGAATATATACTTTAATTATATTTATAAATCACTTATAATATGCATATTTCATTAAAAGTAAGAAAAATTTTAAAATTATTAATTCTATTTAAAAATTTGATAAGTTTTCAACGTTTTCCTTTTCTATGAAGGAATAAGTGATGAGCTTAAGAAAATTTTCAATAATGTACGTCAATATTTAATACAGGAAGGAAAAACTTGTGATAAAAAATTAATAACATGTCTAATTAATTATAATTAAGACTAAAATAATCCATCTCTCTCA